CTTTACGAGTTCAGAGATTGAAGTCCTTCTGTCAGAGATCCAGAAAAGAAAATATGTCATTTTTAGCAGGTCAGCTGTGGGATAAAAAGAGCTGCTAAAAGTATAAACAACTGTGTTAAATCATTTTCATTTAATCAGAAGCCACACTGTTGCACACCGTACAAAACTTCTACATTTGGATTTACAATCCTTTTCATTTGCAGATTATCATAAATTCATTACTGTAACTTTATCAAAGTATAGAAAAGAATAAGAATATTTTCCAAAGAAAAAGTATTGTTATTTATTGAAGCCGATTGGAGGACTTCACTTTTATGACGTAAACCAAAAATAACAAAGTTCATTTTAAAAACAAAAGGAACAAAAGTATTTGTCTTCATCAGAAATCAGGACAACATCAATTGGTAATGAACACATTACTGTTCTAGCTAATGTCCCAAGCCATCGAAGTGACAGAGTGATGGTAAAAAAAAACACTTATTGTTGCAGCAATTATCTTGAGAAAAATAGTTTTGTCAACTAGACGAGACTTGGRTGGACATAGAACAAACTTTATGCGATGATATTAGGATTTCGGATCTTCCATTTATAAGCGCAAACATAAAACGACCTGCTTGCTTTAAAAGCATTAATATCAGCTCATCTCTGACAGCATGGTGGGAATTTCTGAAAATGACAAAGTCTTCACTACTCCCATGTAGACAAACACCCATCTGGAACAATCCTGACATCCTGCAACAAAACAATATGTTAAACTTTCCAGGTTGGAGAAGTAAAGAAATCGAACATCTGGAACATATATTTGAAGGCGTAGACTTTATTCCATTTAATAAATTAATAATACAATATGGCATTGACAGGAAATACTTCTTAAAATATCAACAAATTAAATCTYTAATTAAACGTAAATTTAAGCTTAATAAAACATTATTAGAGACACCAGCAAGTATATTGGAAATTCTTAATCTTAAATCACCCAAATTGCTATCTAAAATCTACAATAAACTATCTAGAATAGATGACTCAATATCAATACCTGTTGCTAAATGGGAAATGGGCTTATCAGTCAACTTTGACCAAAACACCTGGTCTAAAATATGCTTGGAAACATTTAAAATAACTAGAAATTCTAATCTACAATTAATACAATATACAGTATAGTCCTCTATAGAGCACATTATACAGGCCAGCGAATGTTCAAGATGGGTTTTACTTCATCTAATAACTGCTCCCATTGCACAGGCAGTGTACCAGACAATTATATCCATGCACTCTGGCTATGTCCGCCTGTCCAGAGCTTTTGGGTCCGGGTATGTGAAGATTTGTCGAAGTGTTTGAATTGTTATATTCCACCCTCTCCGTCTGTTCCTTATTGGCTATCTTAGGTGATGTCACTGTAGAGAAAAGCACTTCTCATATGATTTCCACTGCCTTATGCATCACAAAGAAAACCATKCTCTTAAATTGGAAAAATAAAAATGATCTTAGCATTAATCAGTATAGAAATCTTCTGTTAGATCATTATAGTCTTGAAACAGCCTCTGCCGCCACATCAGATAATTCTGTTTGGGCTCCTTTGATTAGTTTCATCACATGAAACAAAAAAACAAAACAAAAAAAAACATAATGGTGTGGAAGGGATGGCTATAAGGGGAGAAGGGAGGCCATCCATATAT